CCAGAACGCGCGAAAATCCATCTCGTTAAATTTCATTTTATTTTTTTATTTTTTTTTTTTTTTTTTTTTTTTTTCCCCTCCACTAACAGTAATGGCGACTGGCAGATAAACAGACAGTTTGGCAGGCATGGTGAACATAAAATCAAACATGTACACACGCGACACGATTAATCAAACCTTCTTTTTTTTTTCTCTCCTCTCTTTCTTCTTTCTCCCTTTTCCTCTCTCGCACGTACACGACGTACACGCAACGTAAAACATTCACTCGATTCTTCTTTCTCACGATTTTCACACCCGTCTTTGCTCTTACACGATATCCTTATATCCTATATCCATGAGGTCCTATAATATTGTAACATAGGCTTTAGTATGCTATACTTGTAAGCTACTCTAAAAACTACGAGCCGCGTCGCCTACGATGCGGCGCAGCCGTCTTAATTAATATTAGGAATATCGGCAGTGAAATTCCAATGATAGACGCGGCGGGCAGGCAGTCAGTCCAGCAAAGTCTGTGGCACTTGCGCTGCTCCGGTGCAGTTTAACAGATTAAAAAAACTCTTGATCTCTTTGATCGGGGTGCCCCGCGCGTTAATTTTTAACATTTACATCATTGCGACATTCACAGGGAAATGTCTAGAAAGATATAATGAATGAAAATTAGGAGGGCACCCCATTGTTCGAACAGAGCGATTTTCCATCTTTATTCCCACCATGGCACCATCGTCATCATATTCACCATAGCTTACCAGCATGATTATATCATCATCATCATCATCATCATCATCATCATCATCATAATCTTTCTTTTCTCTTATCTCATACTACGTTCTATTATTCCATTTGTTCCTCCACTCTCTCTCCCCTTTCCTTCCTTCCTTCCTTTCTTTCTTGTTTCCCATCGTTTTCGTTCCTCCTTTCTCTCCTTCGTTGAAAAATAAATTTCTGTTTCTTTCTGTCTTTACAATACTTGCACGTGTGATCGATCCGCGACGCCGCGGATCGCCGGTGTCATCGCTCGTATGACGAGTCAATCGGAAAAAATGAAAAACAGCGTCGAATTGTCCGAAACATAAAAAGTTACTAAGATTACAAATCACAAATGAAATCACAGACTTTCGTTGGTGGTTTGACAGAGGGGAGGGGGCCGCACATTGCAATTAGAACAACATTATAGGCATTAACTCTTATATCAGGAATAGTTTCGACGGGCCTTGTTTTTTCTTTCTTTCTTTCTTTCTTTCTTTTGCGTTATTCGTTTCTCTCGTCAGGAGTACTCTCTCTCTTTCTGTTTTCTTTTGCAGCGGGTTACCCTCTCTCGGCTCGATCTATTCCCATCCATTCTCCTTGATCATGTGAGCAAGCTCGATTATAAACTTGCCCTCTTTATACTTTTGACTCGACTCGAACGCATGCTCCTGCAAAATTTCCAAGAGAGATCGCCGTTAACGGAACATAGTTCACCGAACAGAGCAGATCGATTTGCACGTACGCAACGTGGCTGTGTGCCTTCGTACAGATATATATATTTTCCAAGGCGAGTACTTACGTATTTCCACCCAAGGGTGGTCTTGCAGCATTCACAGTAAATATCAGCGACAGCATGAAGGCCAGTTAGCAAAACTCGCTCTTCCGCAGGACCACAGCCCACGTTCACCCTAAAACCGACAAACAATCGTTCTTATTCTTTGTCGTCAAGCACGTTGTTATCGTTATCTTTGTCGTTGTCGCGATGGGACAGGGGATGGAAGAAGATGGAAGAAGAGAGAGACAGCCAGAGAAAACCATGAAGTACAGTTTTCCACGGGTAAAATAACGCGTCCTACTTTTCCACGACGGCGATTCGATCTCGCTTCTCCAAAGGCATTAGCATACTTACACGGAATTAAAGAGATAGGCACGACCTTGACTGCCCTGGAAGGACTGCAATCAAAAGGAAAAAGCCTGTGTAAGTGGACACGGTGCATATACAGGATACATGTGCATATATATGTATGTATGTGTATATATATATATATATATACACGTAATAGAAGAGAGACACGTAAAACACGTGTAGCATAGTAACACACACAAGCGTATGCAGAGAGCTCGGAAGTGAATGCGAGAAGTCTGTCCGTTACCTGATCTAGCACGGCTCACCTTAGAGATGAGTTCGTCGTGATTGGCGAGGTGAGCACGGCAGTGAATGCACGAGTAAGTGCGGTGACACGAGGGCAGGTACGCTTGAAAAGTTTTGACCATGATTGCGTGTCCAAGCAAGTGAGGAGATCTTCGCCCTTGTCTTCTTCTTCTTCGTCCTTGTCTTCTTCGTCGTCGTCGTTTTTGTCTTTGTCTTTGTCCTCGTCTTCGTCTTCGTTTTCGTCTTCGTCGTGGCCGTCGTCGTGGTCGTCGTCTTCGTCGTCGTCGTCGCGGTCGTCGTCGTCGTCGTCGTCGTCGTCGTCGTCGTTAATTTCTCTTCCTCCCTTTGTTCTTATTATCAGGTGTCGAGACGCCACTCGTTCCTCGCCCTCTTCCCCCTCCTCGTCCTCTCGCCCCTTTCCTCGTGGGAACGTCTGGCCGTTAACCAACAACTGATTAATATATCGAATTTTTTCCAATCGCGGGGTGGTGGTGCAATAGTGGCCCCGTTCACCGCCGCTTCGTACTCCGATCAGCTGTTGAGCTGGTTCAGACAGCGCCGGTTCGGGGACACCTGTCAACAAACACCATCGTCATTACCATTATTATTATCATCATCATCGTCGTTTTATCGTTGTTATTCAATAATGTTTTGTATCTCTAATTATAACGACGATCCTCCGTTACGAATCTTGCTACGTATCTGGCCGCAACGTTGCGCGTTGTGCAACTTCGAATTATGTGTGTACAACGCCTACGATGACGACACGCAACGCCGTGTCGCTCAGGGATAGCCGCGTGATCTAACGCAACGCGTTCGATCCGTCGATATCACCGATCCCTGCACACCACGAGCGATATCTATTTAAAGATCGGTCGGACATTCATTGAAAACAAAAACAAAAAAAAGAAGAAGCTCGAACGTCCATCAAAAAGAGAGAGATTAAAGCGACTTTCTCTTTTTCTTTCGATTAACCAACTTAACCTTCCTTCGGATAAGAATCCCAAGTTTCGAAACGTCGTTTCTCGCGTCTCGAAAATTGAAACGTAATCATCGCATAGCGGAGTAAATAAAACTAGTCACGTGCGCGAGAGAGGGATAGTTAAAATTACGCTCGGTTTGGGATTAAAAATAAAACAAACAAATTGGCTCCTGCGCGGATCCTCCTCGGAATACCCGTCGTTCTCGTTCACGCCGCGTGTGTGTGCTCTAATAACACTTCTATTTACTCGCTATCGTGTATATTTATTCCACAACTATCAGTTCCGAGTTATTTATAACGACCTGTTAAATAACGTGCGTGCTCTGACTCCGGGCGCGTTAACTGCGCGTTATGGCTCGCCATTAGTACATATATACATATATATATATGTGTGTGTGTGTATGTATACGTGTACTACATGGAGAGTCAACAGTTGACAGAAGAACAAAAATGAAGAGGGAGAGAAAAATCTCGGTACAATTGCCCCTGTATATAAATATACAGATAAAGAGAAAAGCGGAGAGAAGAAATGCTACACGCGCAGCGGAGAGGCTGCTTCAACGCACATTTTGAAGCGCAATAGCATTGACGTTACACACTCCATATCGAGCGACATCAGCTACGCCACGTGCTGGCGTATGTTCAGACAAAGAAAAGAGACAAGATCTTTATTATGATGTACCTAAAGAAAAGACTTCTTTATAAGGATCGAGGAAGCACGGGCCGGTCTTCTGTCTCACTCTTCTCTTCTTTATACCGTTCGCCACCACATTCCCAACCTGTTTCTATGGCGATTTTTTTTTTGTGCTTTTCTTTCTTTTTCAGGCTGTCACGCGATCTAAATTTCAGAATCATTTCAGAGAGGGAAAACTTAGCGTTGGAAAGGAGAGGATATTTTAAAAATAGTAAAAAAAAAATTCTAGATGATTGAATGAAGTAAAAAAAAATGTATAAAAAGACTACAGCGACCTCGTTATAATTTTACATGCGCGTATATATCGATAGAGAAACAACTGAAAGATCGTTTCAAAGTCAAAAATACTTGACGAGTATTAAAAGACGCTGTCGGGGATTGTTTGTCCGCTGTTGTCGGTTCTTAAATATGTATAATTGCATTCTGTTATATTCTTTTATCTACGCGCTAAGGGTACTGAAACAAAAGCGTAACATTTCGTTTGAAACGTTGACGTAAACTGTCCTTGAAGCAATCTTCAAAAGAAAAAAATTTCAATCAATATATATATATATATATATATATCTCGAGCATAGATGTTACTTGTTAATAAAGTCACTTTCTCGTCGTTGTCTTCTCGAGTAGAAAAATCTCGAAGCGAGGCGAGGCGTTTCGTTTCTTGCGGCGCCCATTAGCCAAAAAGTAACAATAATAATAACAACAACGTAAATAATGAAAGAAAGAAAGGAGAAACAAAAACACCAACAGCATTGCCATTCAGTTCAAGGCCTTAGAAAAAAAATTCATCATCGTTCATTAATATGAATGAAGGCTGTGCATCGTGTGATTGTAATCGTTTCCATTATGCATATAAAAAAGAAACAGACACGTGTATAGGATGGCGTAATTCGTGGATAATCGACCGAAAGGCATGATTCTACGTGTAAAATAAAACGGAAAGTATACACGAAGAATCATGTTTCAGTCGGGGGACACCCTGTGCAAACAAAAATAAGAGAGCCTTTGTTTTAATACACTTAGCAAGGAGGTGTTTCTGCATTATAAGAATGAAAGAACGGTAACCTCTTATATGGATTTAGAGGAGAGGCCAGACTCTCTTTGCACGGCTTTAACCTGTACGTTCTTCCTCTTTCCTCCTTCTTCGATCTTTCTTCGTCGTGCCTTCTTCGTCTTCTCCCTCTCTTTCTTTTTTTTTTCCCCTCTTTTCTTTCCCCCCGTCCTCCTCGTTCACGCTCTTTGTCAGCTTGAATCAATCGAAACAACGATTTCGCCGCCGTGGCCTTGCGATAACGGTACTGCTGCTTCACTTTTCAGGCTTACGGCAACGCGCCGGGGAATTAACAGATTGTGCGACACAGAAGTGCCGGACACACTTCCTGCTGTATTACTTCTGACGCGCAAGAGTCGCTCTAAAAGCCATAAAAAGAAAAAAAAATGGAGAAGAATGCGACGCAATTAAAACGAATTACACACCTGTGCCCGATTTTCTTCGGGCCAATGCTCTTTATCTACTTGGTTTGTCTAATATTAAATTAATGTCCGACTTTAATGTAATATAATGTATTTAAATTAATAATTAACTAATGTATCCTAACACTTTAAATTAATGTAATTTGCAATAAGATGGTTACTTAAAAATCTTTAAAGTCAGCTGAAAATAAATTGACACAAGGATCTCCATTGTATCTTGAACTGGTCTAAAAATCTGTTATCAATTCCGTTGGTGATCCACTTGAAAACGCGGATTTACCTTTGTTTACTAAATACAATTTGAAACGTAATTTCATACTTGGATGCGGAAAATGATACTGATGTGACGCAATAGTGCACGATTGATTAAAAATACAAACGATGCTAAAAGTATAAAACTTATACGTATATATATATATATATATAGTAAAATTCTTTTGCACAATAATTCACCGAATAATAATACTGCCTAAACTGATAGGTTATAAACTATTTTTCACTCTTCAAATTCGTTTCACAGGTTTGTCAATGTTATGCAATGAAACTACTGATAATTTGAAATTTCACTGCAGTAATATCAATGATTATAATTTACCAAACAATAGTACCGCTAAACTAATAGGTTTCAAGTTAGTTTTCTAAATTCCATTCTTAAAATTCGTTTCACAGATTTGTCAACGTTTTGCGTCAATGAAAATACCGACAACTCGCGACTCGCAAAATTTCACAAGCAGTAATAATATCAGTTGAATTGCCCGAAGAAGGACATTTTCAAATAAAGAAAAACAAAAAAAAAAAAAAAATGTACAGAGCCGATTGTCGGAGATGCAAGACAGAATTATATGTACATAATTGGTTTTTCTCAGGTTAGATTTCAAAAATTTGTCTAGAGGGCTTTCTCGAGTGCGGTATTATCCTTGAATGTAGCGGCCGTGCAGAACAAACTGTGTAGAATGGTGGCGCGCGCGCGGTTCGATGGCCGCAGACTATGAATCTGCAGAGAGGCCGGGGCAAGAGAAAGAAGTTTCCCGACGAATTGTTGGGAACAAAGAGCTGGAACATTCGAGTCAATACACGGCCCAAGGTCATTGCTACCCGTCGCCGACGCATCCTCGGAATTTCCGATTTTCTTGTCATCCTTTTTCTCCCCGTGCAGACGGCGCGAGCAAACGAGCGAGCGAGATCACCTCACCAATGAATAAGACGAAGAATCCGAGTGAAAGCCCGTTCCTATCCGCGCGACACACGCTTCGTTTCCTTTTTTTTCTTTCTTTCTTTCTTCACCTGGCGTTGGTATATATGACGCGCGTTATGTACATACTTACTTGCCCCAGACGAAGCGTGCAATGGAAACACGTGGGGCAGATGTCGCGTACGGTGCAAAGTAACCTTAAAGCATGAGTGTGTCCAACCTTTTTAGATCTTCCCGATTGCGAGTTTCATTGGTCAACAAAAATTTGTCGAGGACCGCGCATAGTTTACATACTTTTTTATCAATTCGACATATATAGTGAAACGATACATTGAAATTAGAAAAGTGTATTCATGTTAATTAAAAAGATATGACAATTTTTTTAACAAAAACACACCGAGTTTGTCTTTTCTTAGATACCATTTTCATCAATATCCGGTAGTTTGATGCAATATGAGTAATAAGAGTATTTCCAAGATGCAAATTTTTGTTTTTATTTTTTGTGTGCTTCATATAGGAAAAATATCTGTTCGCGAATAAAAGTATTCGCCAAAAGGGGCACATCACGAACGTTCATGGTTAAAATTATTCAAATTGAAAGTTATTTCAATTTTGATTATACAGCGTGAGCTGCACAAAGGATCTAAGGGCTTGCCCTAAAGCGTACGGTTCACTCTTGAAAATTAAATGGCGAGTGGCGAGCAAGTTCTACAAAGTGGCGACGAGTGAATCACAGTAGCAACTCACGACGCTTGCCGACAATGAAATTTATTTTCAAAAGCGGTCGTGTTTCTACGCTTCGCCATATTTCGATGCAGAGGGCGTTTTGTGGAATAGAGGCCTGGAGAAACCATTTGAACGTTTAGATTTTTCGATACACGCTTTAACGGCGTAACGTGTATATGAGAACGATAAGATAAACGATTGAAT